ATAAGAGTATGACACCACCTCGGATAAAGTATACTAGGACAAAACTCCGGCCGGGGTCTACAACCTCGGAACTTCGTCTCAACGCTATGTCTTTACAAATCACTGCAGGGATAATGGTCAGTGCCGGTCCTGCGATCGCAGCCACCATGAATTTGTAATTTTCTTGTTTTATGCTATTAAAAAAAGGCACTATAGAGTATCTGTAGATAAATGCCAGTATGGAAGATGCGACAAGCTCTGCTGAAACTAAAGCCAAAATACGACAGTTAGAATAAGACAATGTAGAATCGCTCGCTCGAATATTGCGAAGCATTAGAATGCTACAGCAGATTATGCCACAAAAGAACAACACATTTGCAGGATATCTGTAATACATGTGCGTATCGTAAACACCAAATACTAGCAAAAATAAGTAATAAATTACTGTTGTTTCTCCAAATATAAAAGCGACGTAAAAAGTGGAAAAAAACCTCGGTTTAAACTCTTTCCATCCAAATACAACTACCATTGTCAACGGAAACCAAAGATTGGTTATCACCGCTTCAACACTCACCGATGACGCGAAGTCGTTTTACAGAAAATGGTAAAGTGTTATTGTGATACTGCCATTCCAAACAAAGATCAGTTGTGTTTAAATCAACATAAAGAAACGCCATTATCAAAGCTGTTGGTACGAATATAGCGCACATAATACTCAGAGTTGTCCATAAACTTCTCCGAATCGACTCCCAATAACTCCTCCATCTAGACCAAGCACCTTGAAGCCTTGTATAATCTGTTAATATTTCGTTAACCAACAATGAGTTTAACTGATCGTTGGAAAGTTCTCGTATTCTTCATTGATATACGGTTGTCATTTATAATCATCTACCCCTCCATCTTCCTTGTCAAAGTGAATTTGTTCTCGAAAAGATACGCGTGGTGTATCGCTCCAGAAAAGCGAAAATAATGACAAAAACATTTCAGTTATTTCTTCCAACATACTGGTGGATTGGTGTTATTTCACATGCAATAAACAAAACTTAGTTGGCTATTGCCGCTTTTTCGACTATATACTAATGACCTTTGACGAATTATTGTCAAATCACAAATATTTTTCTTTGAAAACTAACAAATTTCATTAGCATGCCGACGTTTGCGGCTCTATTTCAAGGAGTAGGGAAAAATATACAACTGCCAAACAAGAAGATGATCAAATCAGCCGAAAGTGGGAAAGCCTATAATCTATATACAAGAATATATTATAAGTATTTCATTTGTAAGAGGAAAAAGAGCCAATAAAAACGGGTTACTAAGTGTACAAAGGGATGAACTTCGAAACAAACTTCGAAATCGAATTTACAAGTAAACATTGGAAGGCAGTTTTGAAAAACAAATTGAAATCGAGAGTAAGTAAATTTAACAAGCCAGGACTTAATAGCGGTTTGAAGGCATCGAAAGAATTCGTGGTTTTTTCATAATTAATAAATATTAAATGTCATTGTAAATATAATCCTTTTGGCGTTTTCCTATATATCTCACGTCTCAGTTGAGCTGATTACGTCAACTTCCAGTTTTGTAAATAGTTAGGTTTCCATCAACTTCCAGCACGCTTGTAAATAGTTAGGTTTGACAATGACTTTGAAATAAAGTCGCAATATTACTTTGAACTTTGTTATCTTGTTTAAATACTCGTGATTGCGGGAACCACTGAGCATTTCGATTAAATACAATGCAATATATAGTAACTCCGAAAAGGGTAAACACTTTGAAATGTGGTTATTCAACGTTTCGACAGCTATATAAGCCGATCAAATTTTAATTCATTTTGATCTATATCGATTTAGATTTACCTTTTCATTTTTGTTTTCATTTTGATTTCATTTACTTTAAATTGTTTTTTAATTGAATTTTGTTTTGAAAAAAGATTACATTTTAAATGACATTTACACTTTATTTTATTTCAAATGTCCTAAAAAAAATGAACGATAGCGATCGGTCACATCATCATAAGGAATGATGAAATTACTATACATATCACATGATATATATATATATATATATATATACAAATGAAGAAATATAATAAATACTATATAAGACTATTCGAACCGATCGCTTATTAGTTAGAATCGCTTGCGATACAGTGCTGAAACCTAACCTTAATCACGGAACTAAAGCTTCTAAAGAACTTATAACTAAAGTAATGGCCTCAAAATTATACATAATTAATTTCATCATTCCTGATGATGACTAAAATTTAGTCGAAACGTTGAATGAACACTTTTCAAAATAGAGATACAGATATTTCACAGCACACTCCCTATATATCAGGGCTTTTCAGTGACTGCATGGTTACATTATGAATAGATAGATAGAACTGGACTGACGTGAAGCAGACCGAGGTAGACTTTGAGCTTACAAATGCCGCTTGAGCAGCCGCTATTAGTCCATACCTCATTAATGATCTGTCTCCAGAGTCCAGACGTAGCTATGTGCCTAACCCACCCTGTCAACTTTCCCGGCTGTGGGAGGAAACACGGAGTACCCGAAGAAAACCCAGGACTTTCGGCAGAGCGTTGACTTTTACTCTTTTCACATGAGGACTGGGTTCGAGTCACATTGAGAAATTCTCATTGAGATTTGAACCCACGGCCTTAGAGGTGAAAGGCAAGTGCGCTAACCACTTCGCCACCAAAGCCCCTAAATGTTTACCGTTTTCGGAATTACTATTGTTTTGTGTTGAAAAAGCCCGAATCTTGAGTTTACAAGATGTTAATATTCCGAGTGTGTTGCATCTTATATTTTGCGAAACTGTATATTAAATCTATTGCAAAATTGTTTGGGCCGTATATTAGATATAAACTGTTATGGTTAATACGTTTACCTCTTGGAATAAACTTTTTAATTAGTTACTTAGTTCATGATATACGGTCCAGCTCTTCATAAACAGTACAGTTCGTTATATGCATTTGTATTTATATATAAAGTAGTACATGCATAAGCTTGTCTTACATTACATTACATAAACAAAGTTCGGCATAAACCTTGAGTTAAATATATTACACGTGAGGGGGACAGTGCAGGCAACACCGCGGTCAAACGTCCGCGCGTATTTACTGCTTGACATTCAAAAGAGTTTAAAGAAATTTACGAGTGTTTAAACTCAGTTGAACTTCGTCTTGTCACAAGGAAAAGGCGTTGAAATTCCCTACCTTATAGCTTCAGCCGTTTCCTTATAGTAAACGCTTTCTTTTCCCGTATTTACTCCTAATATTTTGGCAGACATTTTTCCCGCCATTTCTGTATACGCGCGCATGCGCTTTACGTTTGACTGCAGTGTTGTGCGCGGCGAAATTGTTCACTATAAGGGGCGGACCATTAGAAATCCCGGGAGGGGGGGTATAAATTTTTTGCGGCACGAATTTTTTTTTCAGTCTCGTGTCTCTGCAGGAATTTTTTTTAATGCATTTAACCTCTGCACGAATTTTTTTTCAAGACTATTTCTACTTCGCTGTTTGCTTGCACGAATTTTTTTTCTCTGCGACGTAATGGCCGCACGAATTTTTTTTCCAGGCATTTTCCTTTGCACGAATTTTTTTGGGGGAATTTTCACCCCCCCCCTCCCGGGATTTCTAATGGTCCGCCCCTAAGCTAAAATTCACTTTGTGTCTGATGGCAAACCCAAATACATTGTATCATATACTGTCCAACTGATTTATTACCATGTGAGCACCATGTCAAAGGCTTGGTGAAACCATTGAACTATAAATAAACTGGAAGGCTAACTCAGGGGGTGGGGGGATTGAAACCAGTGCATTTTAGTTTTTCTGAGTTATGAGCAGAAATACTCAACACTGAACGTTGGGCTATATATCAAATTGAAGCTATTGAAAAACGCTATTTGGTGTAGAAATTTCAAGACTTTAGCTAAAAGTGAAATATTGAAAAACTACAAACAGAATTACCGATAATTCAGTGCCGTTTTGCAGTTGTTTTTGTATTTTTTAAAGATTTTTCTTTTCGCTGAAGTCTTGAAATTTCCACACCGAATAGCAATTTTCAATAGCTTCAATTTGATATATAAGCCGACGTTTGGGGTCAAGTATTTCTGCTCATAACTCAGAAAAACTATTTTGGCTTCGTCAAATCATAGGCCTTCATCATAGCAGTTAGCCTTCCAGTTTATTTATAGTTCAATGGTTAGTGCTAACAATTTCATTGCTTCGTTGGTAGGGATACAATAGACCTTACGCGTCGCATAATGACGTCACAAGGCTTGATGCCCGCGAGGAATGCTGGTCTTAGTAGTAATCTCCCGGGAAAATTTCGATAGCGGCCATTTTGAATTGTTTAATTTTCCCGCGCGGGCGATGACTACCAAGACCAGCATTCCTCGCGGGCATCAAGCCTTGTGACGCCATTATGCATAAGGTCTATTAGTCTATTACCTAAAAAAATATAAGGAGAAATTCGACGTTTCTAGCTAACTTCCCGACGAACGGCTTTCGCTCGAAACGTCGAATTTCGCCTTGTATTTTTCAGCTAGTTGCATCGCTATCAACGAAGCAATGAAAAATTCCCGTGACCAGGGCAGAAAAAAATAATTTTCTTCCTGGGAGCACAACCTGGAGACAAAAATTTCCTGCAGACCAACGGAGTATTTTTGTGCTAAATCTGCATGTGCATAAACATATAGTGTTCTAGCTTACCATGGTTTTAAATTCAAGGAATAATGTCTGTCAACCATATGTTGTTGCGCCCATAGTGGGACATGCGTTTTAAAGTTTCCTTCAAATTTTCAATAGCAAATCTTCATTCAAACGAATTTCCTGCAGCTGTTTAACATTTCCTGCGAGCAGTGCTCGCGTGCTCACCTATTTTTTCCACCCCTGCCCGTGACTATCAGTGGCTTTTTAATGGAAAATGTTACTACACTTTAAAAACAGCCTGGTTAAAAATTGCCTCGGGTTAACCTAAAATTAACACTGTTTGTGGTAACTTTAAATGTTCCTGGTTTCAAATTTCACTACAACTCCTGGTTAATTTGATCAACAACAACGTAGCCGTATAGGTGAGTTGTGTGCTTGACATAGACGGATTTTGTGTGTGTGTGGGGGGGGGGGGGGGGGGGGGGGTGCTACCCCCCCCCCAATATTAGCTATAACCCCCCCAAACAAAATGTCCACCCCTCCAAAAAAATGTTCAACCCCCCCCCAATATTCGGCATAATAAACTATAATTAAATAGTCCACTCCAACGTGCAGAGTGTTGATGGTAAAAAATAAAACGTAGGAGTACACTCGAACAGAAAAAGACACTCTGAAACTAATCCGCTCCTCGCTTGCATTTACTGGTTTATTGGAGCAATTGTAAAGTTTTGAAACTCTATTATCTCCCCTGAATAGAGTTTGCAGTGCCTTGTCATGCAAATAGCTTGCTTGCAAGGA